TATATCTCGCACGTGTACGTTTGGGACTGAAGAATGCCAAGTGTTGTTCTGTTTTTTTTTTATTCGCCAGGAGTGATATTACGACAGAACCTCTTTGTCCCTGTTCGCGCTGAACCCATAACACCGATGACATATTAACGTTGCCGCTGACACGGATCACGCTGGCAGCATCCTCCTTCAGGTTCAGGTACTGATCTCTCCGAGGCGAGGAGGGCGTTGCCGATGCTCGGACGCCGGTTCTACCATTGGTTCGTACTGTTTAAACCGTCCACCGGACGCCGATGTGCTCCGCGGTAGTCCGACAAGCTTATTATATCGATCGTCCCCATGACCACGTCGGAATAATTGAGAGCTTTTACCGCACAGGAATGGCAGCCTGCTTGACGAATCGACTTTGAGCGTCGATATTTTATGGCGCGGCGAAGCTGCGTACGACTGGTTCGTGAAATTTGGAAGATTCAGGGGAGCGAGCGGGAAAGTGAGACGCCCGATAAGAGTTGAAGGGAAATTTGGGGGAAATCGAGGTAAGATTGTGATTTGAATGACTATGTAAGATGATATATCAGGCGTGAATATTATGCGCGAGATAATTAAAGTATTCGTACATTTTGTCTGAAATTGTATAATTATAAATAATAATAATAATAATAATAATGTTTGTATTTTTTCGTTTTTGTGTGCATACATAGATTTTATTTCCCTTAAGTTACATTTTCACAAATCATACTTTTTGCTCATAAATAATATCGCTATTTGTACATTATCTTACATTCTATTGAGTTATACGGACATTATAATAACAGAATAATATAAAAATGTTCGTGAAAATTATTTTTATACGTATAAAAAAGTTTAATTTTAACCTTCGCCATCTCACCTATCCTTATCTTATTTTATTTTACATATAGGGAACAACATGACGAAATCGACACGTTTTCAAAAATTTAAATTAAACAAATTTCTAATTTATTTATAAATTTTTCAGTTTATGCAGATGATAGACGAGATCTTAGCTATTCAGAAAAAAGTTTATCATAACTTTTATGTTACAAAAATAAAAAAGTCTGTAAACCTTAATGTCATCATCTCATCTTTTTTTCTTATATATATATATATATATCTTCTTTTCTTATATATATATATATATATATATATATATATGTGCGTGTGTGTGTGTGTGTAATACTATTAAAAAATTAGTAGATATGTTGTAGATAATTTAACACCATTGGCGAACATAGGGGAAAGATTAATATCAAAGATCACGCGCGATTACACATCAAAATACATTCTTTTTTGCAGCGTGCATTATTATTATCATGCAACCACGCTAGCTCAACATAGCAGATAATGAGATAAGCTCACCGTGACGCGTAACACACTTTTTGCATGCTGCATATGCATCGTACGACGCCGGCATAGAATAATGTGTCGTTTGCTCCCTTTTCTAGGGCGAGGTGTTACCTAAGCGGATACCTCTCTCTCTCTCTCTCCCTCTCTCTCCCTTTCTCTTTCTCGCGCGCGCGCACAAGCTACGTCTAGAGAACGGACTCGCGGAAAGTACGGACTTATTCCGCGTAAAGTGCCGTCAATTCTAGAAAATCATGAAAATTCATAGGAATCGCTTCCCGGGATCGAGTTACGAGGCGACCTCGTAGCTGTTCTACGAAGCGACAAAGCTGAACGAACCAAAACCAACCAGACTACCTTCAGGACGGATAAGGTGATAGCTCACAGCGGCTCCGCGTCGCGCGTCGGACTAATTATGCACACGCAGCGCGTGCATTTTCCGATAATGATCGTGCGAATGGACGCGGGGCCTCTTCTACGTCGTCGCACGTACGATCGTAATCGCGGGGTTGTTGAAAAAGTAAACACTCCGTGTAAGAAGCGGTGCGCGTGTGGTATAATTTATGCGAATTTAGACTCTCCCGCTCTAAAAAGCGAGAGAATGCACGTTAATACGTTTCTCGTATTTTTTATTGCCACTGATCGATCGTAACGAAATAAGGGAGAAACGGTTTCAGCGGATGCAAAGTTCGTGCACTTTTCGATTTCTTCGATCGATTCTACCTTAATTTCTTCCGACTCCGATTAAGTCACGACGCGTCTAACTGGTATCCATCGTCGTCATCGGTCGTCGTCGAGCTAACTAATCGATCGGACAGCGATGATTTAACGTCGAAGTGTGCGAATAATTGTACGATTGCGCAATAATAACGCGCGATGCATCCAGCCGGAGCGACTTTGCGCGATGAAGAACGCGCGCAATTAACAATTAATTCTTACGTTTATCGGCAATCAAAGGCCGAATGGGATTTCCCAGATGGTGTAAGTCGCCAGGTGAGTCCCCAGTCTATCACGCTTCGAACTATACCGCCTAATGAGAATATTCATGACGTTTGTATTCCGCAGACTCTTCTGCAGACACCGACGGGCAAGATCGAGCGTTACGAAACGGAATTCTAGGTTCGTGCGGTTAGCGATTGATCGTCTGATCGGTTTTTGCTTGAAAAAAAAAAAGAAACATTCCTCCCCTCACCCATTCGTAAGGTATTCAATTGGCGTTCCTGCGAATCGCAGTGCGTCAAATGAGAGAAGTTCCGTCCCGGGACTTACAATATTCCGAGGCGGTCCCATAACGAACGTCAGATGCGCGGATCCGCTCTGGTTCGACCCAAAATGGTGCGGCGTTTAATTTTAGATTCACGCGAACATACACGGTATGTAGAAAGGCGGCGGGCACTATCAGGAACTAGATCCACGAACGCTTCTAATTTTAAGCCGCTCCCAAGAACTTTCCCTTCCGCGCGATATCGCTCCGCGATTCTGCGGATAAACGATAGATTGGTTTTCGTAATCGCGGCCCGAGCGAGCCGCGGGTGTGTCTCGGGTGAAATCAGTTTCACTCTCTCGCGCGTGAATTCTCATTAAATATTAATAGGTTGAAAACGATTAACGTCGTATGTGGCGCGCGACGAGAGTGATATTTCATGTATTTATTCGTCGCACTGAATAAATTCGCGGTCTTCGAGTCCGACGGCGGGAAACGAAATCAATTGCACGGTAAACCGCTCGTGATTTAATTAGCGTTGAATTCCGGGCAGCTCGCACGCCGCTCTTGCTGATGGGAAACGATCGTTCGTCAATATTTATAACGATATTTATAACTGGAAACATTGTCAGCCGATGTTATTGTCAGACCGCAATCAATCGGCTGCTCCAGTTGTGACACTGACCTTCGACCGATCGATAATCTTCGCACTTGAAATTCGCTGAAAGTAGCGTCGGGGAGGATGCCGATCTGCGCGCGGCATGATGCAATTTGTCTTCTTCGCTGTCCGACCGCGGAGTACACTTTGTACACGTAAAATCGTTTGATTAATAGATGTTTTCAGGACGGTTAGTAAACACCTTCCGATTAGCAGTTATTACGTAAGTCGGCATAATCTCCACTTCCTATGCGAGCAATTGCCCACGCGTATCGTTCACTTTTCCGGTTGCCAGGAGCAACGTGAGCAATGAGTCATATGAATATTCATGCAAATATACGCGATCGCCGATGAAACCGGGTCGAAACTTGGACCCGATGTTAATCCTTAATTGCAACACAGTAGGGATTAAGATGACAAAAGAGGTCCGATTCTTATCGTTCACTTTGGCCCTAGTGATGTCTTGAGTTTCCGTTTTCCCTGTTTTAGCGGGCGAAACAAGTTGTTCAAGATGGGAATAAAATTAAATCTGTAGAATCCAAGGCTTAAGAAGAATACTTTGAAAACTCCCTTTTTAATTTTCCAAGTTATCCAGAGACTGAAAAGTTCTTTTGGTTAATTTTTCACACGAGAACCCGAGTCGAAATTTTGGCTTTGTTGTTGAACCTTTGATTCAACAACGGGAGGAAATAAGACGGCAAAATAGATTCAATTCTAATGTATATAATTTCCTCCTGTTTCGATCATAATGATGCGTTAAATTCAAGTTTTCGCTACTTTTAGCGATAAAATAAGTTGTTTCATATCCTTATATGAATTTAATAATGAAAATATCTCAAGAGTACTTATAGCTTCAAGGTAGCGTTAAAATTAAATCAATAGAATTAAAAGCTCGCAAGAGGGAGGAAGAGAGAAAGGAGAGTTAACAAGTGTCAGTATCGTCGAAATAAGTCTATATGAATCTATAGTACATCCAAGTAGGCGCTTCTTATCCTGAAGAACGTCAAAATAACATCGAAATATCGATTTAGGATCTTGAGTCGAAATTTTAGCCCTCCGTTGAACCTTTGATTCAACAACACAGCCGGAGATAAGACAGCAAAGCAGATTCGATTCTAACGCACAATTCGCTCTTATTCCGAGCGCAAATTAAATTTCCGCGATTTTTCGCGTTGAAACGGGTTACCTTGGGTGTCCGTATTCAGTAGTCGAAATATCAAGGCGTATTTATAGCTCAAGGTGGCGTGAGAATGAGAAATCGATCGAATTAACGGTTCGAGGGAGAAGTTGACGAGTGTCGGAGTCATCGCAAGGTAGATTTTTACGATAATCTCCAAGCCGGCCAAGCAGACTCTCTTTCCTCAAGAATTCGTCGAGGTAGCATCCGAACTTCGACTACCCGCCTGCCACCGGGCGGATCGCGTGGAGAGAGCGGGTAGTCGCGCACTTCTCGGACGTCACTCCTCGCTCCATTATCGCGATTGAAAATTTGGCTACCGTTCCGCGGCCACGTGAGCGCGCGCGCGCGCGCGACCGTGTTTCTCGCGTGGGTTTCGTGCCGCCCGCGCACTATCCATGTGTGTGGAGACCGCGGAAGAGAGCCGCGGCGGAGAACGGGAGAGAAACTCGGCGTAACGCGCGAGCGAGAGGGAAAGAGAGAGAGAGAGAGAGAGGGTTCTCGCTCGCGCCCCACCAAGCGCGCGGCCACGTCGAAGCCGCGTATCTACATACTAGCGCGCGCGGAGGAGGCACCTACATGCTTAGTACCAATACCGACGAACACGCTAGACCGATATATTCAACCGCGTTGTTCTCCGCGGCCTCTCGCGCAGTCGGTTCCACGGCACGAACGTTCCGTTCGCGGTGCTTCCTGCTCGTCGCAAGCGAGCTCGCTTGTTGATCCTTTTCTTCTCGCTGTTATTGCTCGCCCACGGGAAATTCTCGCGCGTCGTCAGGCCGAGAGTCGTCGCGAGCCGAGGAAGTAACCCGCGACGACACCGAAGTCGTCGCTCGTCCTGTTACTAGTAGGGGCTCCGGCCGTATCGTACGCGCGTTGCTGTGACACCGTTATCCCGTCCTTGAAGAGATACCACCAGCTGCCTGCGTGAGGAACACACCTCGAGCCCCGAGTCGCAGAGTCGCAGTACGTTCACGTTCGTCTGCTTGCTTCCTGTCCACATCGACGTGGAAGATTCTTACCTGCTATATACGAGAGGGAGAGAGAAAGAGGGAGAGAGAGAGGGGGGGTGGGGGAGTTCGGTGCCACACGGCGCGGGGTATACGTTGAAAACGAGCCCGCGACTTCGTACGGAGGACCCGGAGGAACTTGACCTTCTCGGAGCGAAGTAAGATTTTTCACGATAATTTTAATTGGACGTACGAACGCGCGTTTCTACGAATTGGTATTGATCGACCTGGCAGCGATTCGTTCTGGCGCGCGACCGAGTTGTTTACACTTACGCGGCTATTATTTCATTCGATTATCGGAAAAGCCGGTGTCTTCCCGGGGATCTTCGGTGGTGGAAGGACGTTTAACTGTGGGAAAATAGATCGTCTTCACGGGAAGGAAAGAAGGATCGGTTCGATTAATGCGTTCGACGAACGAGCCGAACGAGCGTTCTCGCCCGGGAATACATACGATTTCTGGTTCTGAGAGGCAAAGTTGGTCGAATGAGAACTAAAAATTTCGTTTCATTCGACCGAATCCGGTTCGTTCCGGTTGTCACATGAATTCAATCAGTATTTTTTCCTTCGTGCGTTAAATTAGAGTACAGTAGTCTCGAATTCCTGAATCTTCTCTCTCTCTCTCTCTCTCTTTCTTAATGTTTCTTCAATGATTAATTCAATTTAATTTAAACGCAGACTCATTTTGTCATCGTCGTTCAAAACCATCCTCGAACACAATCTCTTTCTCAATGACGATTCATGATTGATTGAATTTCATTTAAACGCAGACTCTCATTTCGCCATCCTAGTTCAAAAATCATTCTTCCGCATAATTATACGCGAATATATATTACTGGAGATATTCCAGGAAAATTGATACGGCAACATTCAATATTATTTTTGCACATTAATTACGTAATAGATACGTCGCGTGAGAGTTTTACCGTTAATAGCATTACCGTTGATTACCATAGAGCTATTATGCAAGAGACTACGTACTTGCCGGGAAATGATACAAACTCATCTTTCGCACACGGAAATTACCACAGCATTATAGGTCTCTTCGGAGTCAAACTATTTACGAAGAACGCAACACATATCGATCAGTACATCGTGTTTTCGTGACAACCGCCTATTAGAAACGAAGAATCAAGTTAATGTAAATACTTAATATTATTAGCTCGTCGATTTCATTAAGTGATTTCATCAAGTGATTTCATTAAGTTGATTTCATCAAGTAAAACGAAATTTCTTACGGATTTTATTCATGTGTCAGTTATCGTTAATAAATTATGATATCGTAATACAAACCTCTCTTACAAGTGTCGTGAAATTAGGTAGTATCATAGTATCTTGCAAGTATCGTAATTATGCACACACAGCGAACCAAGTCCCTGGTCACATCTGGTTAGCCCCGATGTTTTGATGACATCCACCTTGCACACAGCTACGACGTATTACACTTAGAATAATGCTAATTGAACCCAATTGTGACAATATAAATATCTTGCGTGTTAATAAGCACGACCTAAATACCGTTTTAGAATCGTGTAACGTATCAAAGGATATTCCTGCGACGAAAACAGTCATTATTGAATTCGGAGAAATATTACAGCTTTACAGAGTCCGAGTTGAATTCAGATAATCTTTTTGGAATATATCCGTTATCGAAACTTCTACTTCACCGTTATTATATTCTTGACGATTAGAAATTTTGTTCCAACAATTCCTCCGTTTACCCGATGGAAATCTAATTGATTTTTTAAATCAATTATTTTCAAACTTGAAGAAATGAACAGTCATGAATTCTTTTAATTTACTTAACGTAATCTGGAAGATGCTGATCTTATCTTATCTAATCGTAATCATCGTAATCGTCGATCAAACTTTAATTGTTCAGCTTTCTACTTATCTGCGCGACATATATTGTACAAGCAAATATCGCTTATCGCGCAAACATTAGGTATAAACATGACAGGTTATGAAATGTGACTGTATTTTGATATGCGCAACGTCCAAAAGACATATAAAAGTTGATCTGATTAAACAATTTGTCCATCGCTATTTATATAGAAATATAACGTTTGCACACGCAGTATGTCGAGATCGCCTCGGAAACACAGGGATTCAAGGAAATAAAATGTCACACTGCGAAGAAACGTTTCTTGGGAAAACAATATTGAATTATCGGAAAACAATGTTATCAGGAAAACACACGATCTTAGCTGCAAACGTAATACGCGATTAGTTACGAAGGTGAAACTTATCATACGAATATTAAGCTTTCGTTCTTCGTCATTTACGTCAGCAAAGCGACACGCAAATCAGAATTCACGGAGATACGATGATAACGCGCGTTATTATTTAAAACTAACTTAATACGTTATCACTTAATCCTATTTCCGCGTCGCGTCCTCACCTCATTATGCCTTTTTATATCTTTTATTCTTAATGTAAAAAAGAATTCTGAAAACGGATACTTTCTTCGACAAAGCGTGCACGATTCGCGTGGACGGATAGAAAGAATACGAACTGGATATGGTGGCCAATTAAGATATGTGCGAGAATAAAAAGGAAGAATGAACTTCTCACAGTAACGAGCATGGCGCAAAAAGCATAGAGATCCTCTCTATAAATAAATTTCAAACTCCGCAATGTGATATCTGTTTGATATTTACACACGCGTTACTCAGAGCGGAATTCTCCGCCTACGTTATCTTCGATCTCCTAAGTTTAACCAATTGCTACGTTATTAAGGCATAGACATTGAGAAAATCACGTGTGAGAGATGATGACAAGGAAACAGAGAGAGAGAGAGAGAGACAGAGGTTTGCAGATATTTTTTTGTATACAATATAAAATTTCTCAAGGAGGTTTTATGACTCAATATATTTTCAATGGCGCATCAAGGAAGCAACTCATAAATTAAGTATTTATCAAGCAAAATGACATTCTTATAAATTTATTTCACTATCTAAATAATAAATGTTAATTTGAAACGAAATTGAAGTAGACATATATATGCAATATTATAAATACGCAAATATTATTATTTTATTTATATTTTTTATTAATGCTATATTATGCTGTACTATATATTTATGCATTAGTTAATCTGATAGATACATACACGTATGTATGTAAGTATTTATTAAGGAGTATCGGACTAGTTCATTTTATTTGGATTAAATGAATGTTACTTGAACGTAGCGATTTTTTTTTTCAGTGCATGCATTTCGAGTATTACTACAAGTTATGAAGTTTGCGACGCACTTCCAGAATAGTAATTCTGAAATTTGTGCACAATGTCTCCGTAGTCTTTAATATTTCAGTAGGTTTTCATCAGAATCTTATTTTTAATTTTAGAAGACGTCACAAAACAGAAAAACAGAAATTAATGATCGCACGCTGATCTTAAGAAACGTATAAAATATATTTTAGTTGTAAATTTTAGCTATAAATATCTCGCTTCCCGGATGGTCAATCTTTTTCTAATCGCACGAACAATTAGATAATATTTCAGTGTACACGTAGCGCAAGTTTCACGACGAGAAATCTTATCAAGTCCATCTCACTTTGCCATCTCCCTAACACGTTCCCATTTTTCAAAGGGATTAGTTACTTGAGCAGATTGCAGATCACAAATAACGCTATGATAATAATTGGGACGGATTCTTCCGGGGGGAGGGGGGGTCTACGCCAAGAGTAAAATCGATAAGTCGAGCCCGACCCATTGCAATGTCACGCAGTTAGTCCGTCGTATTGGCGCCGTGAGCACGAGACGCGCCTCTGTTCGCCTTCATCTTTTTCCACTGTAGTGAATACAATATCCCCGACTTCTCGCGCGCCCGTTAATTACCGTAACGTTCAATTAACGTCGAATATAATATCTGCCGTGTACTCGTTCATTCATCCGGATTCAGGTAAGAGAGTCAATATCCTCGCTCCGCAATGGCAACGGTTGGACAAAATTTTCACATCAGCAGAATCCTTGAGATCGGTTTAGCACGTCTCGACGAAGGCTCTCTGAATGCGAAACACGTTGTTGTTATTCATGCAACGTTATTGCATCGTTATTGCATCGTGCGATCTTCTATCTCGGCAGTTACGTAACCCCGCAGATCCGAAACAAATTCACCGACCGAACTCCTAACCTTTCCGAACTGCATCGGATCATATCCCTCCCTCCTCCCCCCCCCCAACTTCCCTTCCCCTAGATCGAATTAACTTAGAACATTAGTCACAGCCGCACTGACCGGATTCCACAGTTCGGCAACTGCGCATGTTTGCGTGGAAAATATTTTACAACCGCGTCTGCGCGCGCGGTTTCGCGCGATATGTTCGCGCGATTTTTTCAATCTAATCTCTGCGACGCTAATCTGCTAATTAATTGCCAACCGTTATCGCGCCTGTGTCGCTTCGAAGAGCGCGAATCCGCGCGAATCTCGATGCATCCGACGATGCATTTTGCGTCGCAATTTCGCGCTAAAATCGCGATTCGGATATCAACGTTACATTTCGCAGAGCGGCTCGCGAGCCGTCGTACGTTTTTATTGTTGCAGATTGTATCACGTCGCAACGGCCCGGTAATGATTCCGACGCTGGCGAGCCGCAAATCGCTCACGTCGCACGACGCAATTTCATTTTTGCCGCATCGTATTTTTTCCACGGTCGATAGAGAAGAGTCTGCTCATCGGTAAAGAAGTTCGCTATCGCGTAACTTTGAACACACGTAGCAGCACCGGGACACGCGCGCGCTAACGTCTTCTATTTATGCTAATACGCGGGTTTCTGGCATGGGATCTGACTCACTATTTCTGCGTAGGAGTGCAAACGGGTTAAACGATTCTGCTACAGATGTCTCCATTGACGAGATAACGAACGCGAAATTACGAGCGCATTCGCTTACACCCGTATATCCCGCATATATCCTGAGACCTGTTTTTAAGCCTGTGACTTCATCCGTCCAAACAGAGAGGTGTACGCCAATTTACGCGGTAAATTTACCAGTCAATTTATTCATATTTATCGTATAGATCGCAACACATCCGTCAATATATTACGACTAAGAAGAAGATCACATAGATTGAAATATAAATATGAAAGAAATATGAAACTATCGAAACCTTCTCAAAATGGATAGAAGAAGATTACATAGATCGATGAATTAGAAATATGAGAGAAATACGAAAGAAATGGTCAGAAAAATTTTCTAAAAATAATACATCATGTATAACGTAACATAAAATTTAAGCGGAACTTTTAGCAAATTTATTGCTTACATTGGTATAACGAAAATTTTACATTATTGCATGACGTAAATTTAATGATTTAATTCAATACAGTATATTTGCTCCGTCAATGTAATGAAAAAAATTGTAAGGTTTCCATTATTTCGCATCGTGATGATCATGATAATCTATCTGGATATTTTTCTTTCCGCAAAAGCGACTTTTAAATCCTCCACGGTGATACATTCCATCGGAAAGATGAAAGAGAAGAACGAGGGAGTTTGTCATTGATCTTCGCAGCAGGATTTCAGATATTCACGAACAATGTCTCATGTTGCGGCATTGTACAAATGGATTTTCCCAAATAAGCCGAAGAATGCAATAATGAGCCTACAAATCTGTTACTTGTGTTCCCATAAATTTCTTTTAACGAAGATACTTGGAGGGACGAACTTTCTAACAGAAAACCTTCATCATTCTAGATACAAGATGTGACCCTGGTTGAGATCGGTTAAGCGAACGCTTTATGCGCTAATTCGGATTACGAAGATCCTCGCTAATCTGTTCCATTAAGCTCCGGTCACATCAAGGCATCCTTACACGAAACTTTGAGTGAAAAACTCACCCTTGAAAGTTGAAGTGCAGAATCTCAAGTACATTCGAGTTATTCTTACTTCGAACCGGTTTTTATTGACTGCTCGATATCTCCTTAACCTTGCGGATCCTTGATGTAAAAAAGAAGTAAGAAGCTGAATTTAATTTAAGTACTTAATGCAATACTTGTTATAAATGAGCACGTGATTTACATATTTTTCTTTGTCACGACGCAACATACGAACACAGAAAAAACATTTTGTACTTGTGTTAAAATCGGTCCTGAAAAATTTGTGTGTTAAATTTTTAACATACCCGTGTGTGTTAATTTGACATGTTATGCTTATGTTATCTCAGTATTTTGCGTTCGGTAGATATTTAACAGGTATGAGTGTTAAAATAACACTTTTTATACATTCAGTGTCGATTGACATATTAATTCTGTGCCAATTTTGGACTAATCTTTGTATTACGCAACATATATATCTTGTGTTAAATTAACACAAAATTCCTTTACTATGTACGCACAACAAGTTTCTCTAATAAAGTATCGTAAGATTTACGAATCAGGTATCATCATTTATTAAATTGCGCTGATCGAACGCACAAAAACAGAGTCTTACATTATCTCATATCAGTCTTATATTGATCTTATATATATTATCTCACATTAAATTGAAGTAACAAATTTCAATCTACCACATGATTGTAATACATGCACAAGCGACTGTATTAAATCGCATTCCTCAATATCCGCGCGTCGTCCAGACATCCGAATGAGCCCGTGCATCAAGCGGGACGCGAGTCGCATCGTCACCGTCTTAAAAACTCCAACGCGAGTTTTTCTTTTCTTTCTTTTTGCAACGAGGTATTTGCAAACCGTTGGAAAATATAAATAGCAATCATCGGAGACCTTGCACCGAGAAAACGATCCGTGTAATGACACGGCTCGCCGTCACCATTACTTAATGAAATTGGCGATGACATCATCGCGAGATTTTCCTTCGCAAACGCGGAAAATTCATTCGCGCGAACGAATGGTTCCCCGATTGGCGTATCGACGGTTTTCGTCGAGCGCCCATAAGACGTCGATTTTCGCGGCGGAGTCGGGGCTTCCTCGCGCACAGATCCGCGCGATCGGAGATCGCGAGGAACGACTCGTTGCTTTTTGCACCGTTTGTACGTATTACGCACGCGTGCTTGTCGATGCCGCCGCGATCGGTTTCGCGTTTTCACGGATTCCACCGGCGATTTTCTCATGAGTCACGGCTGCCGGAGCGTGACTCACGGCAGTTGCGTCCCGCCGGCCGCGCTCGGTTTGTACCTGCTTCATCCTAATTTAATGCGCGGCCTGATATTACGTACCGGCGATCGTGTCATGCTAATCGCCACCTACAGGTATGACGGATCGTCCGTTCTCATTTTCTTCCCTTTCCGACCGATCGCCGCGCATTCCGCTCGCCGAACGCGCTTGTTATTAGCGTTATCAGCGCTGGACGGAGCCGCCCGTCAATGCGGCAAATTATATATATAACGGCTCGACGAAACGATTAATGCGACGCTTCCATATACATACCTCGACTTCCGAGTGCATTTCAATCAGGACAACTTTCTATACACTCCCTGTAACGTACAATATTATTAGACGCCTTAATCTTCTGCAATTCATCGACTTCCGAGGACCAGCTTTATAATACGGCTCGTCCACCGATCGACTTACGTCAAGGAACCATTATTCTATGAAAGGTATTTTTTTATGACGTCATTCCACTTGACTGTTACAACGATCTCGAGCAAATACGAACCCGCGCCGGCTGCATTGTTGATAATAACGAGAACAGACGCGAGCTTTGAGCGTGTGTCAACTGAAACTCAGTTTTATCCCTACTCGCGACTTGAAACTTCAAATTCCTCGCTGACTTGACGGGAAAAATTAATTTTCGCGCGAGAAACACTGAGAGATATCGCTGAGAAAAATGGTGGTTAAAACGAGTGATTCGACGCGGATCGGAGGGTTGCAGGGGGTAAAAAATCGAGAATGAGTCGAGTGTACGGAAAATCCGTAGCTTTCCCCTCTCCTCCCGACCTGTGTTCTAATTAAAAGAATCAAAGTGCGTAACGGGAGATTCGGTTCACCCGATTCCGCCCTTTCGCGTGGCACCCTTCGCCTTCGGAGAAAGTCCGCGATTACGGCGGTGCGCCGGGGAGATACGAAATGCCGTGGCGGCAGCGCGCGCGCGCTAATATAACGAATCAGCCGGCGCTGACGGTCACGAGGCCAAGGTCGCCGTTCTTCACCGACAGAAGGAAAGAGCGATGCGTGCTGCGAGCGTGTACACCCACGTGAACGACGAGCGACGTGCGCGTGTGCGAGAAAGCGTGCATACGCGGGCCGTAGAGAGCCCGGTCGGTCCATCGACTGTACGACACGCATACACACGCACACGCTACGCACACACGTCCTTTGAAACGTGGCCTTTAAACTATCCGCGCATGCACACTCGCCGGCGCGCGGATTATGTCCGCGAGTCGGCCGACGGCGAGGCGCGCATGCAACCACTCGAGTTTTCATCGCCTGTGGCGCACAAAAGCGCCGTCACGGTCGAGAAAGAATAAATAAATGGATCGATTAATGATCGCGGAAGTCGCGCGCGTTCCTCGGCCGGAGAGGCGGGAACAGGTGGGAGGTCGAGGAAACCGGCGTGCGAGCTCCTTGAGTTTCGCGTTAACCACCTCTCCCCGAGGCGAAGAATGCCGATTTGAGTTACGAACGTCGGCAATGAAATCGGCGTCCTTTCTGATTGTCTCCTCGGGGATTCGCGTTTCCATTTGCTCAGCTGCTTCATTCGATCGGTCGGCTTGTTCGAGAGGAGGCTATCCGGTAACAAGCGACTAACGTAACATCAATGCTATTCATTTTCCCATTCAATGTGTTGTTCATTCGATGTAACGCTTGTGTCGTGTAACAATGTTGCGTTGTTGAACGCGGATTGTTACATCGATGCTGTGTTACTGTTGGTTGGTGTTCACCGGGTATACGGGAACTTTGCCGACTTCTTTCCGCAAAGTTTGCACGCCGTGCTGGTCGCAACGTTACACATAAAAATAATGCTTTTACACGGTAAAAATACGCGCGAAACTGGCGGCAGATAAATCATGTCGTCTGACTTTACGCTCGAATATCAGGCGATGAATGTCGAGGGATGTGCGAGGAAATTCCGAAAATGTGTCGCCGAGACGTCGCTTCGAAATGATGCAGTCTTATCGGGAGGTGAGATCGGGAAAGAACAGGTGTTTCCCATTTGCGAAATTAATGACGCATTGATTATGTCATATCGCGTGCCCGACTGTTCGTCACGATCTTACTCGATCGATGTTCGATACGAACGTGCGTTCACCTTCTGTCATCTTCTATTTCCATCACTCTGGACGGGCCTTTCGAGAGGAAGCGTGTCATAATGCTAACACGGGTTAACGAAGCAGACGCAATTAATAGGGAAATCTTTTCGATCTCGCGCGGCCGATGACGTGGGTGTACGAGGGGAAAAATTCCGCGAGTTTCGACACACAATCGGATTGCGGCCCGACGAAAACACAGCCATTATTACATCGCGCATCGCGCAAGTTGAGCGAAATAATTAATACAACGCGCACGAACACGGTGATTTGAATTCGCACGTTGATTCCCCAGACCGGGAAGGAGTCGGCGATGAGACGGAGACACTGCGGTGATTTTCCGCGGCCAGAAAATTTTCATTGACACACTCGCTCTTGCGGCTGCCTCTCTCTGATCGCGCCCCGGCGGGCTTAGTAACATCGATTAAAACGAATGATTCCGCGGTTACACGGTGGACTCTAATTACGTAAACGGGATGAATAATGTTGCCGCTTCGCTTTGCGGGGAGAGACGCCACACATTCGAGCCGCCTCGGAGGAAATATTTCGCGTGTGACACATTACGCGATACACGCGTCCAAACGTTCCGCGAATATTTTACGGAAGTGACACAACGCGAGATTGTTACCTTCTTAGACGTCATAGAAGAATCTCGGCATTTTGATCGCCCGCCGGCTTCCGCTTCTCGTCTTTGAGATAACGCTAATAACCGCGGTCTGCCGCACGGAAACTGTTCTCCCTGTCCTGCGACGCGATGTCGATCAGACTTGGCTGAATTGACGCTCGGCCGAGCTCGGTTGAAGATCACGCTAATTCTCTTTTTCATCATTTATCGTGTGTATGGTAATGATGAAGGAAGCGAACCGAGTTTGTTTCTGAGATCTAAGGTCTCGCTGAGGGTGTAAAATTCAACTTTACACGCATGTATGCAAACACCGGCGACACTTTTCTATCAAAATATATGACGGTTTTCGGGACATTACATATTTTCTTGCAGATAACTATATTTTAAGATGCTTAAGGCTTCTAGAAACTAGGTCTAAAAGCCGACATACCTATGATGCCTATGGGAGTTTATCAAAAAAATAAAATAAAAACAGTGCAATTTCATTTGTTGCGTACCATTACATGTTATCTTTGCGATCTCAGATATTTCTTAGAATTTTTCAAAGTTCACGACGTGTATTACTATTTTATTATGTGGAAAGGGACCCACTGATTTCTCTTGATTATCTTAATAAACAAGAAAAAAAAAACAGGGAAATATCAGTCACCGGTAACTTCAACTGTATTCAATTGTATTAAAAATGGATACCGTAATCTTACGAATTTGAGGCGGTCGATTGCGTGAAAGAGTGCTCGGCCGGGATGTTAATCACGGATTTAGGAAATTAATGATTCATAAAGCGGCCCCACCTGGCCATTGCACTTTCATTCGTTCACAGCGGCTATCTCCGTTCGCTTTCTCGTTGAGCGAGAAAAGTGCAACGGCGAATGCGAGTCGGAAAGATTCTCTCTCATCGTTCGCAGCGGAAGGCCTCCCGCGAGAAGAGGGATCTCCGCTGCTGGAAATTTTACAAGTCGACTCCCATTTAGTGAGAAAAACGCGACGAGCCTGACTGGTAATTTACGGGCGGTACGTGAGCGTTTTGCGATTCCGGGCGGGAAACGTGCGAGTTCCGCGAGAGGGAAGCGCCGAGATATCAGAAAATTGACGATACACCCGTCGGAATCGACGGGCGGTTCTTGAAAACGATCGCTCGCCATGGGATTTTACACCACGATGCAATCCTTGAATTACAAATCCGTACATCTAAAACGACCCAATGACTTCACCTTGTTAAGCCCCACCGGCACCGGTTTCTCGGAATCTCTAAA